CTTTCTGGTGCTTTCACTTCCTGAGACAGTTGTAAGCACTGTGTAACTGCCTCGAGGGTGCTTGACCGTTTTAACACAACGTGGTGCGACCATCGCCCTTGCGCGGAGTGAGGGTTCTCGACCCCGCACAACATGATCCACTCGACTACCATTCTGGTTACTGCCAAAAAACAACAGAGGTAAATAAAAAAAAACGGTAACCAGGTTACCGAGTTCATGAAGTGAATTGGCTTGTTTCACAACGTCGTTGCCAGGCGACGAAAACCCAACCCCGATGGCACAAACACCGTGAGTGCGGTTAATGGATGAGCAACAACAACCGCCGTCGCCATCCATCCGGTGGCGGCGCCGCTCTCCACCACCGCCTTGGACTGTTGGCCATGATGGACAACCGGGGAGGCTGTGGATCAAGGACGCCGAGACCTACCGCCTCCGACGCCGCCGGATCCGAGTCTTGGAGGCCGTGGGAGCGGGGGGGCTGCGGGAGCCAGGGGTCACGTGGAATCCGGAGGGGGCGGGATGCCGCATGTGTTCGCAACAATGTTCGCCACCCACGAGAACATGGACTCCGCTCTCCGCGCTGAGCGCCCGCCTGACAAGACACCCGACTCTCCCCGCTGCCTCGCCAGCGACCTCCGCGTGCCGAAAACGTTGAGTCCATGCGGTCCCAGCACCAAGAGTTGTGGAAAGACTCGGTAGCTCGCCAGGTTTTCGGTTTTGCTAGATACACTTTCCTTTGAGGCAGTGTCTAGAATTAATGCTAAGTGGGACTTTAACTGTAATGCAGACGAGTACGGATGGCCGACGAAATTCAAGGCAAGACTTATAGCGCGGGGCACATGCAGAGGGCTTTGATTGATTTTGGATGGTTGTTTGCGCGTGCTCTTGCTAGCAGCACTGGCATGTGCACAGAACCTTGACTTGTGTCGTTTCGACATTCAGCAGGCATTTGTGCAGTGCGAGCTTGATGAGGATGTTTTCATGCGTCTACCGCAGGGTTGTGGAAGTTTTTCTGGTCTGATCGTGAAGCTATGCAAGAGTCTGTACGGTTTGAAGCAGGCATCACGACAATGGTATGCGCACCTGGCGAGGTGTTTGTAACTTTCAGGCTTTTTGCAGTGTCTGGCGGATGCGTGTGTTTTTCGATTGATGGAGGAGGAACATGTGATCATCATCATCGTGCTCCACGTGGATGACATTGTTGCTGTAGGGTAGCAGGAGAGGTGAGACCACAGTTTGGCAGGGATCTCAACGAGATGGTCCCTGTGAAGAACCTTGGAGAGTTGAGGTGGTATTCCGCGTGCTGTTACGAGAGAGACATGGAGAGGAGGCTGTTGAAGATTTCGCACCAGAGGTTTGCCGAAGAGTTGGTTGCATAGTACGGTGTTGAGTGGGGAAGAGCGTGCCCTTGGCTTCTAGCGCGAAGCCCACCGACTTTGACGAGGACGAAGCGTGCTCAGATGTCCCTTTTCGCAAGTTGGTAGGATCCCTGACGTGGTTGGCCACTCAAACAAGGCCGTGAAACAAACGTTCATGGAGCTGCTGACTATACTCCACTTACTTCGGCGTGCCGTGACCCGAACGCCACTTACTTCGGCGTGCCGTGACCCGAACGTAATCTATCGATGATACGCACCTGCCTCCCGGCCTCGCTCTATAGACTAGCTGGTGAGGACAGGACCAGAGATCGGGGATGCATTGCACATGGTAGTTTACTTTGGTGTGGATGGCCATGGCCAGGCGGTCAGGTCATGAATCGTCACTCACGTGTTTGTCAGGACCCAGGATATCAATACCAAGCAAGAGTTCATACGGCCCAAGAGGGAAGAATTGAGAAACGTGGTGCAACCTTTGAAAATGGTACTGACAGTAATCGCGCTGGAAGAGAAAATGGCGAACGCCGCTTCAGTTGGAACAGCATCCCTCATCACTACCAGACTGATATTTCTTCTTCACTCCATTGCTCTGTTGGCTGCCGGTGCTGGCGTCAACCTTCAAACCATATGTCAATTCAATAACAGCAACTGAAACGTTACGGGTTCACCCTCCAGCTGCCAAATATTGTGAGTGCAGCCTCAATTGCCCAAAAAGCTGGAAGCAGCACGCCGGTTATTACAGCCCAGAAACCGCCTCGAAGCTATACTCCCGGTAGCACACAGGCTCAAGATCGAATTGGCTGTTGTCAGGAGGAAAGTAGAATGAAAGACCCGCAACCTCAACAATCCCCGTGCTTCGTCTCAAACTCGTGATGCGTTCAAACTGTTCTTCACACGTATGTATGTGTCTCCTGTCCGTCGATGCGAATGAGCGGCCCAACAGGTTCTCTTCCGCCTCTTACCCACCGCTTGTCTATGGAACCCCCGCCTTTGGTGTGGGAGTTTTTGGGTGTGGTGGCCATGTGGTAAAAGAGAAAAAAACAAGTTCAGTTCGTTCTGCGAGTGATGGGGGTCCTTCGCTGTAAAGAAACTTCCTCTTCTCTCAGTGTCTCAACAAAGACTGGAAAAAAATCATGATTTTCGTCATGGCATTGACAGCGAGGTTACGACGTATTCGCCAATTACACGACACAAACACGTGATCACCAGTGAACAATGTAAGATGAGGCAGTCCTATCTACCTCTCCGTCATGAAAACGCACGCACAGCCAAAAGCAGCGTACAAGCCTGCCAAAGTGTGCGAAGGGCACAGTGCCGCTTCCCCTTGCTCACCCTTGGTAACACGAACGGGACACAAGGGGAGAGGTGTGACGCTCCTCGCAGCAGGAACTTGCGGATTTCCCAATGTTGGAAGTAGTTTGCTGATAAATAGTGAGATCACGTCTGTTCTTGATTCCATCACAAAGCAGCGCAAACGTCTTTCGGAAAAGTCAAGCTCGTATACAAGCTCTCTTAAATCCCCAACTGCCTCTAGCCGCCCCCAACTGACTGACCAGTAAACATATTATCGCAAGACAATGACCCCACAAAGAATCTACTAACGGTTGAATATCACGCCCAACCCTCGACGCACGCATGTCTCTGGAGTACCGACAGATGCATTTTGAAGACTCAACGTGAACGTCGGCTTCCTTCCACAATGCGTTGCACCACTGACCAAGTTGACAAAGCGCATGGACTCTTAAAACAACAAGGGCTAGTTCCCTCCTTCCGAGTTCAACTCGAGTAAAATTACGCGCTTACCACACATTGCCGCTCAAAAGAACTCACCACTCACGTACTTTAAACATACATTACAAAACCCAACGATACGCCGGAGTACACACGGGTGTGGGAAGCGTTCCCCGTTCTCCTTTTATTTTATTTTGATCGGTCTCCTCGACGCTCTTTCTCGTTTGGTGCGGTAGCTGGTCTTTCTTTCTATCATTTTGTTTCTCTTCCGAGTGGTTTTTGTACCCTATTCTTTTCTGCTTCTTCGTGGGGTCGTGTATGCCGGGTTTTGAGACCACGGGCTCCCAATCTTTCTTTGTTAGAGCTAATGTGAGAAACAACAACAAAAACAAACAACAAACCTTCCTCACGTGCAAGCCACCAGCAGTAGCATCGCTCTCCGTGGGCGCCATAATGCCCCCCGCTGCTCCCTGCTGGGGCGTCGCCCCAGCGTCGAACCTTGCCCAAACACCGACATCCCGCGCTCGAACGTTCCGTGTCGACCTCCTAGAACTTGCTCCTTCGTGCTTCGATTTCAGCCATACCCTGCTGGGTCTGGTGCGACACAAGACTAGCCAGCCGCGTCGACGCCACGCTTTATCCTGCGGCGCCTTCGATAGCAGGAGTCGAACGAGCATCGAGTTCCGGAACCTAGAAAGATTGGCTGAGTACCCTTGCAAAACCTCTCCAACGGTTTTGCCATACGAGTTTACCACGTTGTCATCAGCACCCCATCTCAACAAAAGGTTGACTGAGTGAGCCAGGTCGCATACTGAATACCGATGCTTGATGCGGCACACTGGGCAGTGAAGGGGAGAGTATTGGCTGTTGTCCAACGCTTGGATGTCCGCGCCACTTCTCAGGAGGGTATGTATCGCTGAGCACTTTAGCTTCTTACACGCAATATGAAGAGGTGTACAGCCGCGCAGATCTTGAACATCAACCTTAGCGCCTCTATCGACGAGTGCATCGATCGAGTTCACATGCCCACGTTCCGCGGCTTCGTGCAACGGAGTCCAGCCATGTATTCTTCGTATCTCCGTGTCCACCGCATTTGGGAGTGCTGCCGTCAGCACGCCAGGGTGGTCGTACTTCGTGGGCACATGCTGCGGCGTGAAATTCTTGACGTGGTCACTGAAAATGTTCACCTCCGCACCAGCGGCGAGGAGGGCTTCCGCTGCTGGAACGGAGATGAAATACGCTGCGCGCAACAAGAGTGGATCGCCGAGCAACTTCAAGTTCGCGTTGGCCCCATGCTTCAACAGGGCAACTATAGCGGCGGGCTTTTCTTTCCTTGGACGACTGCCGAGGCTACGCATGCTTATGTCACGGTTGGCTACGACCAGAGGTGTCCTGAAGTCCCTGTCCAGCACCTCGATACTCGCCCCAGCCATGAAAGCACGTCAACAACGCCGGCATGATTGTTCAACGCAGCCTGGAACAAAAACGTCGAGCTCCCATTGTCCGTCGCGCCCAAATCCGCTCCGCGATGAATCAAAAGTTCCACCACGTCGGCGTACCTATTCAACGCGGCTATCGACAGAGCCGACGAACCGCGTGCACGTCCGCCCCATGCCTCAGCAGGGCCAAGGAAGCCTCTGGTGAATCGCTTCCACTTGCCACGTACAGCGGTGTCTCATCCTCTCCACATCCCCACCGAGCGTGCAGCACAGGCAGCCGAAAGGGGCCTTGAATTACCAGGGTGGCGAGTTCTTGCAGGGTTGTGCAGTGGCAGTTGACAAAGGTCTATATAGTGTGCAGGTTGACAAAGGTCTGAGCCTAGTAGCTAGTATGGACTGGAGCAGCTGGACAGGAGACTGGTGCTCCTTTCGTTGGTAGGTGGCCCTTTGGGGGACACTGATGTCGATACTGCTGTGCCGCCAGTTGTAGGTCATCATCATGACCAGCCAAGAACAACCATGCGTCCACGCCGGCAGCCAAAAGGATTTCCATCACAGGAACGGAGCCTAGCGTTGCTGCGAGGTGTAAGGGAGTCCGACGCTGGCTATCCAGTTGAATCCACGGCAGCTCCCTGTTGAAGAATCAGGGGCATGATATCGTCACAGCCCAAGCCGGCAGCAAGGTACAGAGGGGTTTGGCCCATCTCGTCAATAATATTTTCCGGGTCAACTCCCATCCTTATGAGTTCTCGAGCAAGCTCATGCTGACCACCCCTTACTGCCAGAAGTAAAAAGCACTACCGCTTGCCCCTGCTGATTGCAGCTTCATCACGAGGTCAAGGTTCCCCGCAGCCGCAGCATACTTCAACGGAGTGAGAAACCACGCTGCCCATTCCTCTGCGGTCGCCCCGGCACAAACGATGTCGAAGATGATGCCTTCGGCCCCATTCAGGGTTGTCCTAGGTGGGTGCAAGCGCGGGGGGCTCCGCGGTAGACCGCGCTGTTCGTCTGGGTACCACGGCGCTTGGTTTGAATGCCACATTATTCACGCTGCTGCGATGCATCGCCCAACTGCCCACATACAACTCTGTGCGATTTGGCGACACACACCATGCCACCGCGTTACGGCAACACCCCCGCCACGAGGCTTCGATTTGTTGGGGCTGCTTTAGCCTGCCTTACGCTGATATCCACTGGAGCCTCAGTAATCGACGAAACACATTCCCACCAGCATTGCTCCCTGCAACGGCGTTCGAGAACGCTCCGGTCTGGTGCTCAGGCGTGGTCACGGACGCGGCCCCGACAGAGTGCTTGGACGGTTCGTGGAGGGTACAAGCACGGTAGCAGCGCCACCGCCACCAGCAGTGGCAGCAACAGCAGCAATAGTGTGGGGCAAGGTGGGTTTCCGCCAAGCGGCGAAAACACAGCAGTAGACCGCAACATCGATAAGTTGGCAGCGGATCTTCGAGCCAAGAGGGATCACATCGCCGCTGATATCCATGCTCGTGGAGAGGCTATTGCAGCAGATCTCAAGGGCAAGCAGGAAAAGATTGTGGATGAAGTGCTCAGGGAACGCTCACCCGAGGCCTTTGGCGAGCTCGGAGGACATGCCTCGTCTTACGATTCAGCGACAGCGGTAAGCACAGCAGCAGTACAAACAGAGCGACTCTCGGCCGCGATTGAACAGGTGCCACCTCTCGCGTCCATCCGCCCCCCACTCTGTTGCAGCTTGCTCTATTTTAACAGATGGGTGCATGTATGCATCGCATGCTACAAGCCTTCGGGATCATCACACGCATTCGGGTAATGGAAGATTTTGAAATTCCCAGCTGCAACCACTGGTGTTGGAACCTAGTCTATGCTTCATACACATGAGGCGGGGTATTTATCCTCGTGTCTCGGAGTGCAGACTGACAATTGATTGACAGTTTGCAAGAGATATAATAGTGTGGTGGCAACCCGTGAAATTGCCAACCTGTAGCCCTCCACATCGGATGTTGGCAAGTCTACTGGTGTGTGCTGGTGTCCTTGTGGGAAGAACAGGGGCTCTGCAGACAGGCAGGGCTCACGTTGGCGGGGGAGGCAGAGAAGTACAGAGTGAAGAAGTAGATTTGCAGCAGTTGCGGTTTTCACGGGGCCCTCTCACCGATCATTTCAAACGAAATATTTGGAATATACTGAAAAGGGAGTAGTTTAGGCGAGGTGGAGGACTGATCTGTTCATGTTCTTTGCTTTACCAGCCGCACCGCGGCCGCGCAACCCTTATAATGTGACCCTATGCATACGAGTTGACACTACAGTCGCCGGCATCCCCCATGGCCTCTGCAGAAGTAGACGTGTCTGCTTTCCTGCACTTTCCTCTCTCTGTCCCGCTCTGTCTCCCATCTTTTTTTTTTGCGTTTGCGTTGAAAAACTAATGAGCGTCAAACGGAACCGCGACTGACAGTCCAACCTTCGTTTTGCCGACGAGTAGCCAGACACCTACAGAGGAACGCCGTTTCGCAGAAACATCGAAACACCTTGACCGTAGAGTGAGGGATTCGGCACAAATGTGGAAGAGGTATAGGTCTGATATCCACGGTCGTTTACGGTAGTTTCAGATGCCTAGATATACACACACCGCTATCTAAATGAATCGATTGTAAGTCATACAGTATGTATGCTGCAGCAGAGAAGGGTGCCGCTCTCTGCCTGGAGCATGCGAATCAAGTGGCGACTACATAGGCGCGAGTGTGTCACAACATGGGTGACTGAGCAAGAAATTATCTTTGAAATTCAAAGTTGTCAATACTCATGGTCAACCCTATTGAGAGACATGGCCTTTCAGTCAGTCGCGTGCGGGTTAGTTGGAGACGGAGTAGACTAAGCTACCAGTCATTCAACAAGCGTTGACGGGATGACGGTCGTTATTCCCATTCGGGTCAAGGGCGCGTGTACTTCAACTGTTGGAAGTGTTCCTGTTTGTTTACTTCAGATTATTCAACCAGCTCAGAACCAGAAACTCAAGTAGAACCGTTTCTCGTACCCTTGTGATCCTCTGGACGTCGTATGTATGATACTCGACACCTCAAGTATGGTTGTGTTCCAACTTGTTAGAAAATACGCAACGTGGCCACCGCACTCGGGCTTGCCTACGAAACCACTCCGACATGTAAATGACAGCACAGCAACTTGATTGTTTTTGCAGGAATTCAGCTCCGATGTACATCTTTTCCCGCTTGAACTCGTACCACCACAACAACGAACACCCCAGGCGTCTACTTTCTTCAAGCGAATTCTCTTGCCCCGATTTTGACGTATTCCCCGCCTTCCGTGACATGGACCAACTCCCCGACCGCACCACGACAGCAGTAAGTACTGGTGCACCGGCGGCCCTACCGTTGGGCGTTTAATATTCTCGTTGGTGTGGAGCTGGTGTTGGCAAGGCTCAATTCCCGACTGTCAATCGTTGCCTTCTTCTGCCTTGTCACACCATCACCGCTTGGCTTTGCACACACAGTTCACATCCAACATCAAACCGAAAAGCAGAGCGACTTGCAATTCCCCCCCTGCCCGTCCTGATGGCCATCTCCGTTGAAACTCCATTTTGTGCGTCATTGATCACACCGCAGGGCATGGACGTGGCGAATCGGCGATCGTTTTTCTTGGGCATCCGGCGCGTGCTACTCCTTGTCCAGGTAGTGGAACTCCTCGCAGCATGTATCTGGCAAGCCGCGTTCCCCTTCGGAGGACTCGCGGGATTCATCACAGCAGCGTCAACGACGAACGGGGAAGGTGGCACACCAAACACTGCTGTATTGGCTACGTTGAGGGATATCGTTGCGGGCGAAGCGGGAGATGGCAGAGGGCCGTTGGGTCTGGCCTTGGCGGCATGCTTGGCGCAATTTTCTGTGTACACGATGCTGCTAGTGTGGTTCGGGTGCGATAGGGTTGTGCTGAGGGGTGTGAGGGTCACTGCGTGGGAGCACGGGGCTGCAGCGGTATGGGCTCTTTCAAGGCTCATGACCGGGCCTGGAGGAAAGCTGACCCACCTGCTCGCGTGTGCGTGGCTGGCGGGAATGGCCTTCTTGTGCGCATACTTCGGACGGCAGCTGTGAACAACACGCAGTCACGTATATGTAGATGGAGAGGTTTGGATGTGCCTTAATGACGAAGAACATCAATGTGGGAGGGCGCCCCTGGCTAAGTTGTTTAGTTTCCGTTGCAGGGCATAAACATTCAGTCAAGCGGTCAAGGCGACCGCAGTGTGAAACAACGCTAGGGTGGGGTGATTTTTGCATGCTTTTTGCTCCAAGAAAAGAGCTGCTGAATCATTCCAACAAGCGAATGCCGATAAAGAAGCTCATTGTGATTTGAGGTTTCTTTCCCGTAAAAAATCTCAATTCGTGGTGTTGGAGGTCTGCCTGAACTTGGCCGCTTGCTCGGTGCACACAAGCCGCTCGGTAAACTTGGCAAAGAAAGTTTGAATCCTTCCGCGAGCAATGTGTAAGTATCAGACGATTCAATAGCCCGACTCGTACCGCTTGCGTTTCTTCACTCCGGTGCGACCGACTGAAGGAGATTCCTCGAGGCGTTTCGGCACGAAATCGTGGCCGAACAAACGAGCGGTGGACGGCCGAAAGCGGTAGATAATCAAGTCGGGAGCTTGGGCAGTAGACTAATGACTTGAAACTTTCCAAGCAACAAAAGAGGTCTACACACAAACGTGGCATCCAAACGCAAGTAGAACCAACGTGAATATATCACATGAACATTCCCTTCGGGTGTAGTAGACTGAAAGCGGTGCAAAACCCCCTTCTGCGGAAGAGAATGCTCCCTAGGGCCTCCGCGGTCGGGTTGTACTCATAGTCGTGCATGCCGTAGTCGTTAGACCATTGACCTCGCATCCCTACAAAGCCGGGACGGAGCACGCCGGGTTCTCACCGGACCAGGCTCTCACATCACCAAGCGCGAAGCGCCGTGAGATATTCGGCGAGTCGCATGAAGGGTGCGCTGCATCCTGCTAAGGGTGTTCGGCATCTTGTGCTTACTTCCTTGCGTACGGATGACAGCTGCGTATGACTTCATTTATTTTCTGGTGCTTTCACTTCGTGACAGGGGTAATCACTGTGTAACTGCCTCGAGGGTGCTTGACCATTTTAACACAACGTGGTGCGATCATTCCCCTTGCGCGGAGTGAGGGTTCTCCACCCCGCACAACATGATCTACTCGACCACCGTTATGGTTACCGCCAAAAAAAAAACGGGGGTAAAAACAAAAAAACGGTAACCTGGTTGCCGAGTTCACGAAGTTAATTGGCTTGTTTNGTGACAGGGGTAATCACTGTGTAACTGCCTCGAGGGTGCTTGACCATTTTAACACAACGTGGTGCGATCATCCCCCTNCAAGCGACGAAAACCCAACCCCGATGGCAAACACCGGAGGGGGTGGGGTGGGGGAGAGAGATTAAAGCGACGACGTGGTTCAGATTGGACGGTCCAATTTGCACTGTTAGTGATTGCTCGAACATGGAGCAACAGCGTCGCTATACTAGCTCAAGACAGGTCTGCTCGACTCCGTCAGGTGGGAGGTGCCAAACAGGAACGAAACCATCACGTGTGATCCTCTGAGTCGCTCCCCGACCTAGAGGAAAGTCAAAATTTCCCCGACTCGTCTCATGGACACCATGAAAAACGCAACAGCATCCATCCAGGGACGCGACCTTCAACGGGGGCTCTAAAATGCCGCTCCTGCCCCCTCCCCGTAGAAAAACGCCTCCGCAAGCGCGACCTCCGCCTCCTTCCCGAGCGCCCCCAGCTTCCGCAGCTCGCTACCCGACACTTTATCCCGAAACGCCACGGGATCTGCATCCCCCGTCACGGAGGCCGCAACAGCGGCCGCCAGTCGACAGATTGCGAGCAAAGCAGCGGTGTTCCTTTGACCATTGCCTGCACCTATCGCGGCTTGTTCTCCACCATTGCGACCGCTTGCGCTGCTGTCTTTGGTTCCTGTCTCCGAGGAAGTGGGTGCCTTCGCAGCGGCGCTGAGGGATGAAATCTTGGTGACGAGCCCCGGCAGCACGGTGCCCAGGAGGCAGTCGAGGGTAGGGGGAGAAGCGGCTAAGAGGACTTGTGCGATCGCCGCGGGATCGCACCTGTGTGTGTGTGTGTGTGTCGGGTGTCGAGAGGATGGGATGACAAAGAGGACAAAGAGGCAACGCGAGGGTTTTCGGTCTTCGCATGTTCCATCTTTTCGTTATGCGTGCTGTGTGGTGCCCTATCGTACGCGGTGAAGCAGTCGTGGTAACCACGTGGGGGTCGCGCTCACATCAGAAGCGGCAGGTCACTGCGAGCCATGTCAACACAAGGTGTCTCGGGGGGTGAGACGCGCTGCTGGCGTTTGCACTTCGCTCGCCCACCTTCGGAAGTCAACGTAGCGCTCAAGGCAGACGGACCAATCAGTGCGGGACAACGATGCCACTTCCGCCATGACGTCTGGGGGCAAGCCCTCCCCTCGCCTGCTACCGTCCGGTTCGCCTGAAAACGCCTCCGTGAGTTTTTCGCCAAGCTTAAAGAGATCGTCCTCCTGTTGGGCGTGTGTCGAGAGGTCGAGAAACAATGAGCATGGCTTATGAACGGAAACGGGGTGCCCACGCTAGTTGACTGCTGCGTATCAAGGACAAAAAATGAGCGACAACGATGACAACAAAGAATCTGTCCTAACCGGGATATCATCCGAAGCCCATTGGCAGAACACGTCGTTGCTGCCTTGTAAGTCACGCTGTAGCTCTGGCGGGAGTCCGATCATCGTTGGGGGCAAAACCTGTGGCAGCGTAACCGACAACCAGTTACACGTTGCGAGCGAGGGAGCAGGTTCTGGGTGTTGCGGATGCAAATATGTTTCTCAAATACCGGAGGGTGAACCAACAACCACTGTTCGTCCACAGGAGGAATACATCGCAATGCCTGAAAATAACTTGCTGGAATTCAAAGTACAGTACGTCACAACCAGTCCACAACTGGCGTATATTGACTTTTCTTTAATGACCATGTCCACAACTACTTCACAGCAGTTGTCACCGAAGCCATGCACCATTTTTCGAAATTCGTATGAAGTGAAATGAGCATTGTTTCTTAGGGGACTCTCTGAGACACAAGGTATTCCTATTGTTCTCCATTCCGCTGCTCACGAACTATGTATAGACATCGAAAAACCTCCTTACCCAGACACCAAAAGCTGTGGTGAGGAGGGGCTTGGTATGGACATCCAGCTTGGATCGTGAGGCGTACCTGAGCTGGATCCATGCTGTACACAGCGGGGAGTACCAAGCCGGAATCTGGACCGCAATCGTGCTCTCCGTCCAAGCTCGCCTCTCCCCAGCAGCGTTCGCTGTCCATGTTTGACATCTGTGTACGGAACGCAGCAGATGGACCGATGGGACCAAAGTCGCATTCACACACAGATTATCAACAACGTCAACGTGGGTCACAACTCTACGAACCCAACCCACCACGTCTTTCACCACATACTTCAAGTATCCTACGACCTTGGAGAACGTTCCTCACGTTGTCCTCGGAGAGATCGTCTCTCGGGGCGATATCGAGGTCGCCAACGCCCCGAGCCACGAGGAAGCGTGCAACGTTTCGAGGGACCTAAAGCCGCCTTCCACGAGGCTTCCTCGGATCGTTGACCGTGACTTTTGTCCGAGAGGCATGCGCGGGCGTGCCCTCGCACACCTCTCACTCTTCACTTCTGTCCCCATCTCATCTCGAGATTCTGTCTCTTTACTGAGAATCACAGTCTGTCCGGTGATCGTAAACACCGCCCCATATCTGTGACTGTTGCCTGGGTGGAACGCCTGTGGATACAGCATTGGAGATTCGCACCTCCCTGCGGTGTCTTTTGAGTTCAAACCCCTATCAAGATATTTAAGTTTGAATTTGAATGTTCCCCATACAGCAGTTGGTGTTAATCTGCAGTCCGCCCATCATGATCGCCATTGATCAAGTTACGTACTCACATCGAGTCTCATCCACTGTAGCTGTAGCATGCCTTCCTCGCCAGGAATACTTTCCTCGTACATGCGACACGGGTACGGCAGGACCTCTCCAGCCTGCTGTTCAGGGGGCGGCGGGTTTGTTGACTTCGCCCTGCATTCCTCGACGATCGCCCTCACAGCCGCCGGCAGCGATGCCAGATCTGCCTTACCCCCACTTCTAGTTTCAAAGTCCGACCATGAAGAGCACTCATTTTTCTGAGAATAAGTATCTGCCATGCTTTGCTATTCGTGCTCCCGTGCTCTGGCACTGCCGTAGCGTGCTGCTCTGCTGCAGCTCGACGGCTGGCTGTTAGGGGCATCGCAAATTGGACTCTGTCAACGGAGGTTTTCCACGTAAGAATTTGTGTGCGTGATTCAAGACCGGGGGTTGCCGTCACGTTTAGAGAGGCAACGGTCGTCGGCAGCGACCTCGCTCGGGAGTGGACAAGCGCTCACATTTCGTGTTGCTGTAGCGTTATACTTGGCGCAGAGATGCTTGGTGGTAACGTCGTGGTTGTGGTTTCAGCCCTTCTTGCGACGTCGACTACCTTTGTGTCGTCCCTTGTGCACTCACGATCAACCACCCAGCTGTCGCGAGAGTCGTCCGCCTGGCGGCGTCGTAGCCCGAGCGGCACCCGGCGATATAGTGAGACGGGACGGAAGCGGGAGCTTACATGTGGGCTGCAGATCACGGTGCGCATACGGGGCAAGAAAAGCCGCGAAGAAGACTACACGAATCAGGTGTGGGCCTCTTGTAGTCCTGACCTCTTCTTGCTGCTTCAGTATGCTGCTTCAACTGCGCGCGTTCTCCACTTCGAAGTGCGGAGACACCTCCAACGCTGCACGAATGATGATTGATATTAATGCCAATCGCCAACCCCCTTGCTGGGCACTCCCGCCCTCGGTTGCCTTTCGGCTCATCATGGGCCATACTACAGCTTAGACATCTAGATGTACACTATATGTACTACGGTGCATCCATAGGGTGCTGTACATACAGCTGTTGTTGTCCGCTTCCACCATCCTCACCGGCTTGAATTCACAACATACGAAGTACAACATACACAAACCCCGGAGTTGCGTTTGTGTCATTTCATGTTTTTACCTGGTTCGAGCGACATGCACAAAACCAATCGTATGGCCATCTTGACAGTCGTGCGACTCACTTCAGAACCTTCGCGCTACATCCCTCATCCCTACACATTTGTTGTGTGTGTCTGCCTGCTCTGTCCAACTTCACATTCCGCGATGTTCGGCTGAAAATTAACATTTCCAAGCAGGCGTACGACGAGTATGCAAAGCGGTTACGACCGGTCTTGGCCTTGGACACCCAGTGGCACAAGACCGATGATGATCTCGAAGCTGCCGTGCGGAAGGACCCAGGAGTGGTGGTGAGAGGAAAACTACACGCCAAACGTTTATGCGATCGGATATACTCACTGTAGAAGGAACTTTCCAAAGCTTGAGCGGCTCTTCTATGCTAGCGTTCTGAAACCCAGACAATAATTCGGGTTCCACGTGTAGATTCCTCGAGTCTATGGCTTTCGAAACTGTTTTCGGTGTGTCGTCACCGACCGAACAACGGGTCAACCACACGCTGACGATTTGTTTCCCTTGCATCAAACAAACCCCTGTCCGACCATCAAATCGGCCCTCATGTTTGCTCCCAAAAAGGTGTGCCTGGATGAAGGCGGGCGCCAGATGAACTCTCCGGCGTTCTCCGACTTCGTCTTCTCGAAGCTCGAGGAAGGAGGGTCGCGCCTCACGTTCGTTGTCGGGGGCGCAGAAGGTTTACCCCCGGGGTTGAAGCAGAAGCCTCCACATGGAGGGGCAAAATTATCCCTATCGAGCATGACGTTCACCCATTTGTGGGCGCGAGCACTGTTGGCGGAGCAGATCTACAGAGCGTCTGAAATCCGGCGAGGGTCGAAATATCACAAAGAGTAAAAGCAGGTGTAGCGTGCAATGGAAGAGCTGCTTTCACACGCGCTTCGCCGTTGCCTATTTTACCCGAGGTGTTGAAGCAACCCGGCGAACATCATCAAGCCGGAGAACATCGTTGGCGTTGCTAGTCCCATGCTCTACTGAGATTGACAACGAAGTTGCAAGCATAGACTTTCATGCTATCCGCGTTCATCAAAGCGGCAGCCTGACTCATGCCAAGGTTCTTCGGCTTGGGATGGGCTTCGCACATCTGATAAAACCGTGTCGACTCTAATCCGATTTCGGTTGCACGCACCAAATCGGGACGCGACGGGGATGGCACAACTTGCGACCATGTCGCAAATGGCCCAACAAATCCACTGGAGCGCTCCTGCTTTCCAGAGGATCAGAACCGAGACGTCCCTCTGTTCTAAAGTTCATCCCCGCGCTAATCCTCTGGCGCTAATCCGGTGGAGATTGGTTTCCCATGCGCGAGCACAAGGATGCCCTCCGGAGTGGGCCCATGAGAGCACATCTTCATCAAGGGGTGATGCACGATGAAAAAAAGTATGGCTGTAGCGGACAATGCGCCGTTGCCCCCATGTTTGAAGGAGACAACAGAGCGAACAACAGCTGGATTTTGGGACCAGCTGAAGGGCATCTCAACGACAACTGCTCGCTAAGAACGGCTGCCTGCACAGCTGGTTGTCATCTAAAAGCTGTGAGTTGCCAAGCTCGAACAGCATACGCAGCTGATGTGTGTAGACTCGCACAGCCCAGCGAATGGCACCGAACCAACAGAAAATCTGGATACAGAGTCTGATTTCAATCCAACCTTTGAAAGCAAAAATAAAAACTGGGAACACCACACTCCTTGCTCTTTTCGCACTACCTCTTGCCGCGCAACCAATAGAACTCGCAGCGACCCCAAATGTTCCAGTGGCGTCGACACAGCAACTGCCATATCTACTGAGAAACACAACAGGGTGCCAGCAATCCAAAGCGTCTCTTCCACAACTTCTGCTACCGTGGCCACGTCGTTGGGAGACGTAGTAGAGGCCCGGAATCCAGCTGATCAGCGGACCTTTTTACTCGGGGCGATGTCGGGACGCTTGTCCTGCAAATAGGTCATGAGCCGTTTGACCGAGACCAAATACTTGCGCTGGGCCTCATTGTTCATGATGTGGGCCACGTTTTTTGACGAGATACGCTCGCGACCTGGGTGAGAGCAGGGGGGGAAAGGGACATAAGCAGACGGGGGAAGAGAGACATATTTAGCACCATGCGGTCACAGATGCAGTGGACCTTCAGCATCATGAGAACCTATGGCATGAGTGCCAAATATGGCACCCAGCATGCTGTGACATCGTAGGTTGCCTCTGTTCCCGTCACATGGCAGGCACCGAATTGTTTCTTTTACAAACTAGTATTTCCGTTCATGGGAAGTAATTGTTTTCGTCGCCGGCACGCCGAAACAGCATTAGCCAGGTGCCCCTCTTGTAGTGCTTCAAATCGATACCGCTATTAGTTGACGGGTATTTAATCAAACAGTTGAAACCATATTCTACATATTCTTGACATCACTTTGACAACGCTAACAAAAGAGACACGTACCTGATCGCTCGTGGATGCCCACCATAGTGAGCCCGATCGGCCACGGGGCGTTCCCAATGGCGGTGAGGATGTATATGTCGTTGGCGCGGACGAACTCGCCCTCCTTCATGAAGTTGATCATCGTCACGAGGTTGTTCAGGATGCCGTCGGGCAACGCCTGAAGTTAACACCAAAGACGCATGGCGGCAGTCGTGTCGCATGACGTCATGGTGGTGGGGGGCACTTGCACAAACGTGCGGGTTTTTCGTGGCCCTTTCCTCGCTATCGCCCTTGCACTTCGGCACGTGGTGCCCGGCAGCAGCATCGAGTGGATCATATGAAAGGCCTGAACGAACATATGGTACAAATCCATACGGGACTCTAGTACGTAGCCCTCGACCCGAGCAGAAAGCGCAGCGCGTAACATGCACAGGCCGCCTCGGGTGAGAGAAGCAGCCTCTGAAGAGAGAAGACAGAAACATTTGTTCCGGCGTCATAACGCCACCCTTACTATACCCTAACTATACCGCAACGTGTTTCAGTCACGGATATTGCCAGGACAACAATGCTCCTAGGTCGCGGTCTCCCTTGAAGGAAGAGTACTGCAAACAAAACGCCCTCCATACATGAAAGCTGCATGGAAAACACAAGAAAGCTTTCACGTGCACGCACAGACCAAACTCAACAATTCCAAGCACGGCAAATGAGGAAACAAAACAAAGAACACCGAACACCGAATAGCCACATCAAACAGGATGCACAACACGCACCTTCTGCTTGCACAGCTTGAACAGCGGGCGCATGTAGTCCTTAGCCTGCTTCTGTGTCTTGGTCTCGAGCTTCCCCTGCACCGTGCGCTTGACGTGGTCCGGCCTAGCGTTCAGGTCCATCTCCCACTCCTTCAGCAGCCCCCTGAAGAACGTCCGCACCAGCTTATTCCGCTCCATTTCCTTCACCTCTCCGTCAAGCTCCGCCTCCTTGGCAGCAGCATCCTTCCCTCCCGCGCCCCCTCCGCTCGCAGCCGCCCCGGCCGCTCCCCCTTCCCCAGCCCCCCCGTCGCCCTTGTCCGGCGCTCCAGCCTCTGCCCCCCCCACAGTCCTTGTTGCCTGCCGCGCTGCTCGTGCACCAGCTCCGGTTTCGTCGTCGTCGTCATCGTCGTCATCTGAGTCGTTTCCTGCCTTACCATCGCCAGCCGCGGTCTCCTCGTCCCGGCCGGTGGCGGCGTCTAGGTGGCTTCCCGTCAGGTCCGAGCTCACGTTCCCCAAAAATTCGTTGTTCTGTTTTTGATGCGGCGCGCGTGGGCGTTTGGGAATGCAATAGGAAACACCAAGAGAAAACACGAACGGCGGGTAACGAGGATGCGCGGGCATCAGTTTTCGAGAGGAGCGCCGGTGGGGACTTCACTGGCACCTGGCACTCAGATGTGGTTAAACATACAAATACCAAAGAAAGGGCGCAAAAATTCTCCTCCTTCATAACCCGTCACGTCCAAGCATCAATTAGGAAGAAAAAAAGACAAGAGCAACAGGGAAGACAACTCACAACGTTGTGCCCATCCGCCAGGGTAAAGTCGTCCTGGTGGTGCCCCTTATCCTCCTCCGCCAGTAGGAGACGCGCGGAACGCTGCGCTTGCGTCTCGCCGAAGAGCGTGATAGGTAGGCACAATGCGCGGAGGCGGGCCTTCGCCTGGAGGGGAGGGGCGTGAAAACGTGAAGGGGGTAACGGTAACAATACAGGGTGACGGGTTGAACATGGTGGGAACTTTCCCCCACGTTGTTCAGTGACACCAGATGTAGGGGTGACAATTGGAGGAATTTTCCCCAACGTTGTTCAGTAACACTATATAGAGCATGTTGTGGTGACCACACGAAGGAGGGCAGTGTCCAAACAAAGTAGCTCTTCCCCAGCGGGGGGTACTGTCCATTGTGCCTGGATGGTGCTTGTGCATGATAGAGCTCGCGTTTGCTGAATCGGACTGGTCAAGTCTGCTCAACTAATGACTCCTTCAAACATTCCGGGCAGATGGAACTCAGATGTCTTGGCTGAGCATCTGTTCTTATGGTCAATTTGTTACAAACATTGAGTGTTATAAGAGGCTCCCTTTCTTCACGGTCGATTGTTAAATTAAACGGTGGCGCAGAGCGTACTGTACTGCTGTTAGAGGCGGCTCGTCGACACTGCGCTCCTAGTTGCAGAACAGATATCAGATCGCGGGAAAAATACACCCCAGGGACACGGAGGTTCATCTTGCTCACCTCTTTCGCCGGCACCTCATCCTCCTGGGCGGTGGCTTCTGCCTCGTCTGCAGCGGCTGCCGCAGCCGCCCGCTCCTTCTCCTTGGCGGCGTCAGAAGCCTTCTCCTTTTCCTTCACTGATACCGGGGCTGACCTCTTCTTTCGCCGCTCTTCCTCCTCCTCCTTTATCCGCTCTTCTTGCTCACGCTTGCGCTTCTTCTCTTCCCTCAACCTTGGCGGGAATAAATCCAGGCAAAGGAAGGGGTGGGTCGCGAGTGGAATAGATTCCGTCCCCCAAGGCCCAACTTGTTCGAAACGCGACGTGATTTCCTGCTTTGGCGTTTGTGGCCAGTGCACGATGAGCTCAATAGGACACATTCTTGGAAGAACGCGTAGAAATCGAAGTAGTATCGACCACTTGAGCGTGCAAATAGCATCGGCCCGAGGAAGATACTACCTGCGTGGGTTAGACTATGGATGAAGCTTAAATACTCTGCCAAGACTGACTGGGAAAATCTGACGAGAAGCCGACGGCATTGCGGTGCTGCATGCAACACTCGTCTTTCTTCGTGTGGATATCGCACCTACCGCAGGAGGCTTGTAATTGACCGACACACATTCCTATTGGGTAGTCCGCCAAGTAAGTGACGTTTCGTTTGCTATCCAGACTTTTGGAGTTTGGCACTATATGTAGTTTCCCTAATAGACCATTTCCACGTGTCTTTCTGGTATATTTGGGGTGCCAAAACGGCGTGTGAACTAGAAGCGCATTACACTGGTGTAAATCCAATCGACATCAGATAGCAGCGGCGGTGTGACGGGCCAGTGTCGGCGGTGCCATAGCAACCGGCTCCGTACATATCCATCAAGTGCATTGCCAACATAACGCATGTTCGAAAACTTAGCTTGAACTAAGCGCTACAGCACGCTACTCTGCCGTTAATGTGTGTCGTTCCCGCGGTAATGTGTCTCACCTACACAGCAGTGAGTAGTGTCGTAAGCAGTGTAGTATTTCCCCTTTATCGCACCCACGGACCGTTCCATTCCGTTGGTTGCTTCCGTGCTGTGAAGCATGCCATTGAAAATTAAACAGCTACGATATTTTCTGGGCGCGAAGATAAGATTTATACACACGACTGATATCAACAACGCAGCAGTCGTGGTGTAGGCAACGACGTCTTCAATGTTGGCGCTCACACCCAAAAGACCACCCGCATCAAGCCGCCCCCTACAGGAGGAAGTTTGTCACCCGACCCTCTCTTCACCTTATCAAATCCGCCTGTTTTTTCAGCCGTTCCTCCTTCTCCAGTCTCGCTGCTTCTCCGCGTCGGACAAACCGTCTCCCCCCCTTCTCACCCCCGGCTTTGGCGACCAGCTCGGATGTGCGCTGTTTCTTCCTTTCCAGCTCCGCCTTGAGAAGGTCCATCGTTTCGTTGTGGGGTATGTCGATGTCTGCGGGCTATAGCCTTGCTTGGGTCCTGCTCCCCCCAAAGGACACGCGATAGCCAATGCTTTTGAAGGCTAGGTTCTTGCTCGAGAATGTACGGCTCTGTTGTAGGCGGTGACAACAGTGGTGTTGTTGGTGGTGCTTTCCGCCTTGCATGTTGAGTGACACCGCACAGCGTCAGGGCTTGTCGGGGCGGCTGGGTGGCGACGGCACGTTATATATTTTTGGTGCATACCCCGTAACATTTTGCGGAGCACCCCGAGGCAACAAAGAGCTGTGCTGCAAGCTGGCAGAGCTCTCTGCTCTGTGCTTGCTTGCTGCCTGCAACGCTGTACGTCACGTTGAGGTACACAATGAAAATCATGGACGGATCTCTTAGCCAGAAGAAGAGTTGGCGGCGGCTGACAATGCATACGTTGATGGGATTTCTCAGTTTTCATTATGGAACGGCCTTCGTCCCTGCGGCACATAGGCCTGGCGGCGGGATGTCGGCTATCCGCAGGTGAGTGCGTCTTGTAGTGCTTGCCGCGTTGGGCCTTGCCAAGCCTGGAACTTCCATTGTTGTCCGTGTGTGTCGAACTTGCCTGATTCCATCGGCTTCCGTCTGATTCAAGTATGATCATTTGGTGTGTAGGCAGTGATCATGTTGTATGTGATCTTCGTTGAGGGGTGTGATCATGTTTCCCTTGTCACGAACACATGCACTGCCGTCTCCATGCATGTATGTACCTGCTGTTACATGTGCCTGTAAACATGCAACAGCAAAACAAGCCCATCTCTTTGTACAAGAACAACTGTATCACCGACCCATTGATATCCTACCGCAGTCACGCGAGCAGCAGCAAAAGTCATGCCTTACAGCAAGTGTCTCCTCTTTTCTCGTGCCCCCAATCCCCTCCTTCCCCTCAACAGCACCACCAGCAGGTTGACGTTCCCAGCCCACCGATCACCGCCCGGCATGACCACCAGCGACGGCGGCCTCCAACACGATGACAAACGAACCGGGGAAGCAAAAACAACAGCCTGGTCAGGAGCCTGCCGCACCGCGGCCGCATGCCTGGCAACCGCCGCCATCCTGTCCTCCTCTCTACCAGCAGGTGCTGCATCGGGCTGCGGCAGTGTTACTCATGACCTGCACGGCGAACAGAGGAGCTCGCCGGCGAACGTATTGATGGTGCTGGCCGACGAAGGGGATTTTTCGTCGGCGGACGGCAGGGCCGACGTGAGCCAGCTGGTGCTGGAGCTGAAGAAGGCGGACAGGCCAGACACGCTGCTCAACTCGATGGTGAAGATCAACGACGTGGTGGACGGGGACGAGGACGGGGTGTTGGAGAACCCTTTCGCGGCGGAGGTATGTACGGCGGTGCTGCGTTGCCTTTGGTTTAGCAAACCGCTCCAGTTTTCTGGCACGCTGGAAAGACTGCTACGGGTGTGGTGCCGTGAGTGTGACGCCTAGGGCCATGCTGAATATCAGCGCCCCCGGTGTAGTCTCACCCCGAATGATTGCTTCGTGGAATCGTCAGGAAGTTCTCATCAGGCAAAGTTATGCCAGTCAGCTGGTTATGATACTGCTGTAGTGGATGACCAAGAGGCTCACAGCCAATCCTGCGGCAGTATATCGAAGGTACGTGTTCCTGAGGAAACATGCTACCCTCGTTTCGACGAGTCCCAGGTCGTGGTAGGAAACTCACCCGCCGTCAAAAACGAGTTTCTCTATCAACATGGCGTGGGCGCGCGGCCGTGGTCAGTAAGTGTGTGAAGGGCTCGGCTGGACCGTTTTTTGTTGCGTGAATCTCTTGCATTGATTTGATTTCTTCGTTGCCAAGAAGAGGGTACGCACCTAGTCGCTGCCACAACACGTGTATGCCTCCGCGGCTCTTTGTGGTTTGATCGAAAGCGCGGCGATTGACAGGCAGACAGACCACTTACATGCGGCTACGGATAATTGTAAGTCCTGTGCTGGCTTGCGATGGCATCATGTGCTCAATGAAACTGGGCTCCTTTATTTTGTCTGTTGATTGGTTTATGGCTGGCCGAGAACAAACCGATTCGTCGCCTCTATCTCCCGTCTTCGCCCGCCGTTTCTTTGGACGCTCACAGAGCATCGTCAAAGGCTTGATTGACAAGCGGAGGGCTGGGGGGGAAGCATGGGATAGCAACACAGAGGTGAGACCACACCACCCGTCACATCGCGGTACGAAACTCTTGGTGAAGGTGCTACAGCGACCCTGAGAGTTGTATGTGTGCTTCAATGTGGCTAGAGCAGCTCTTCGTCCGAGTGAAGTTGGCTTTAACGCGTTGTGATCACGTTGTTTCGTTCGAACAGAGAGTCGAAGCAGTGGCCCCACGCGTGCTGCCGAGTTACATGACTTGACGCGTCCTATTTCTGTCTTTGAGAACCGTACCTGTGTAGGCGGACGTGAACAAAATCTAACCGTCTGAAGGGTATTTGTAATTATCGGTTCCGGGTAGCGTCGTCATAAATTCAACCGCATGACCCAAACACCTGCCCCCTCCTTCAAACCATCAACCACCTATCGCGCGACCATCCCTTGCCACCACACGACACACGCCTCGCCAGACTGCCTTCGGCATCCTCAAGAGAAAACTGGACCCTTTCAACGTGGTCCTGCTCCGGCCGTACCTCAAGATTGCGCCCTTCTTGGGAGGCGCGTACTACCTGGCCGCGTTCTTCGTGCAGCAGAAGTTTAGGGGCTTCTTCCCGTACGCTTACTTCGGAGCGGTGGCGGTTTTCGTGGCCCCGGCGCTTATCGTAATCCTGGCAAATTGAGCCCCATGAAGAAAGAGTTCGATGTAGACGAGCAAGAGAGGAATGGAAGGCGCTTGAATGTCCTACAAACACCGAGCAATAGATGAGAGGTCGCTTTTCGGGAGCCCGTCTCTCTGTCGTTCGGCATGCCGTATTCACTTTGTCACGTACACGTGGCGACATCAGTTTGGGCCAGATATGGAGCTACTAGTAGGGACATTTTTTCCGTTGCGGGTGCCGATGTTCGCTGGAAACGTGTCAGCTTGCTACTGTTGCAACAGGATTGTTTTTTTCTCTGCTGTGGTGGTTTCCCCCGTCGAACACAACGGAACTCCGAAACCCTTCGGACTGCCCGGATATGTCGGAAGGAAGAGTATGTTTCGCGTCGAGACACGTGCTGACGAACGAAGTTGAAACGTACGTGGCCCTCGCTACCGCTGGGCGTTGGCTGGCTGTGGAATTGGTGTGGAGGTTGAAATTGCAGCGTGTGCTTATGCAACTAGCTGTGCACGCGAGTGTCTGTACTCGGGGAAAGGGATGCAATGTCTCCGTGATCTCTCAGAGCAGCTATGCATGCAACCAGGCAGCGTTGTATTTTTTGTGGTGCCCCTGAGTCAAGCCGGGAAACCGATACTGTCGTACCGTGTAGACACAAGAGTGGCAATGCTTCCGGCTGTTGGTTTCCTGCAGCCGGACAATCTCCTGTCGGGTAGAACACCAGCACTGACGTCAAACCGTTGTGCTAACAATACCGCTGACTTGCGAGAACAGTGTGATAAAACAGCGCCCATATCATCATGCATTGTTGGACAACTTGGACCATGTCGGGGATAACTCTCACGTGCCATAATTGGGGGAACGGGGGTCACAAGCGGGGACTACTTTCCTCCCTTGTCCATGTAACGCTAATGCGTCACCAACCCGGGCAGAGGGTGGTGGTGGTGGGGGGGTGTACTCATAGTCGTGCATGCCGTAGTCGTTACACCATTGACCTCGCATCCCCACAAAGCCGGGACGGAGCACGCCGGGTTCTCACCGGACCAGAGGGTGGTGGCGCGGGGAAAATAACACTTTCGTGGATGCAACAGCAGCCTAAACATAAAGAAGCAACATTTGCTCGATGCTGAAGGAGAGCACAACACTTCATGGTGTGCTCGCTTTCGTCGAGCACTACAAATATACTACCTCGTGGGACCGACGCCGACACACATACAACCACGACCCAAACAATGACCGATAGACAACCAAGGAATGTACCATCATACGACAACTATCCCCTCTCGCCGTCCTAAGCACATGTGCGGTCAGACCAGGAGCGTATCCAAAGCCGCTGCACAAACTCTTGTGCACGGAACTTATGCTTAGGTCGTAGCCGGGTCGCGGTTTCTCTGGAGGATGGACATTCTTTTACACGTGCAACCCCACACAATCTGCCAACCAAACGCTTGGGAATGACAGGCACTGCGGTTTTACATTCGATGGGATGGAACCTATTCCACAACCTTCTCCAACGGTGCTGCCACCTACAAAACTTCGGTAAAGACCTATTTAGGACGAGAGCGCAATTTAGACCACAACGTCGCTCATGATGTTCCCGACGCTCTTGGAGCGGTCGGGCATGCGGATGTACGCAGGCGTCACGGGCGTCTCGTACTTCTCCCCCGCCACCCAGATGTTGCTGTACAGCTCCTCGTCCGGGGGCTGCGTGCCCCCCTTCGCCTTCTTCAGCGCCTCCTGCGGACGGGAGCCAAAAGAAGACACGAGCACACCGGAACGGGTCAAGATCATGGCCAACACCCACGTATTCATCGCATCAAGTTTGGGGGCAACACGCTGGCGCCATCACATGAAGGTAACGAATGCTCTTCGGCCTCGTTGTCTCTCCCTCTCCCTCACTGCCTCTGTGTGTGTGTGCGTGTCTATCTCTTTCTCTCCCTCTTTCCGTCTCAGTCTCTCTCTCCCCCCCGCCCCACCCCGCCTCTCCGTCTCAGCCCCCGCACCTGGACCTCCTTCCGGATGTCCTTCTCGATGTCCTTGAGCTCCTGCGCTTCCGCGAGGCCGTTGTCCACGAGCAGGTTCTTGACGAATTCGATGGGGTCACGGGCCGTGCGCATGGACGCGATCTCGTCGCGGTTACGGTAGGTCGTCCCGGGGTCGGACATGGAGTGCCCGTGGTACCTGACAGTGTGGGGGGGGTGCATGCGTGTGAGTGTACCGGGGGGCGGGGGCGCCAACAACGTCGTTTTTTCAGCGAGCGGGGCGTATCTTGCGTGAGGGATTAGATAATTAGATCAAGCACCGCCAGGTTGTGTCGACGAATGTGCTCTCGGGTGAAGTACTATAGCGAGAACAACTGTAATCTGCTTGTTTAGTCATGGGGCTGCGAATGGAGGCAAGAGTTAACAGTTGAAAACACAACAACCGTGGAGTGAACAACGGGAGAAACCCGCAGTGCGAATATTCCCAGCCCTCGACTGCTGTCGGTAGTGAACGCAAGCGTAACAAAATACAAAAGGCGGTGCATGTGTTAGTACAGTGGCGTCCTGCCGACGGAAAACGGAGTATCGGCGGACCGTACCACACAGTACGACGGCTGTGAAATGTGCACGATAGCTTGGCACATGGCAGAGCGGAAGAGCTCCAACAATATCCCCGAGTGAACACGCCAGCGGCGCAGACAGCATCACAAAGAAAATTACACTGCCGTTCAACCCTCCACTCGAACACAACCGCTTTAGCGATCGCCGCCCGAGGCAAGGTGGGAAACAAATCTCACCGGTAAGTGTCGACCTCAATGTAGATTGGGCCGTTACCCTTGGAGCACCAGTCCTTGGCGAACGCGAACCCCTATTAGACACAAAACGCCGCCACGAAGGAAGGGGGAGGGGGGCAAAGTTCTTGAGCTCAACAAATCATCGCAAGAAAAAAACGTATCGTGTGATATCGCCGACTACATAGGTGAGGGTATGCAAAGTTGGGCGCACTAGATCGGGGACAAAATGGAGTGTGAGTAGCAGGGCACTCGTCAGACAGGTCGGGCCAAGGCACCACGTTGAAAGAGGTGAGCCCAGCCGAAGAAAACAACAGGACAACCTTCCAGTGAAAACATTACGCTTGCGATGACATGAAGCCTCCGCGATGATCCACTGAACACGTGTTCTACCTCGCAATGGTCAGCGTTTGGATGCCGCTCATGTACTCGGCAGCATATGAGAGCCAAGCACCGACATTTGCGTTGCCCCCACAAGCGCCATGTCATAGCCCTCGAAAACGTTGATGCCACCCAAATCAAACCCATGGAAGCAAGGCTTGAGTCGAAGTCGGCTTTCTTCCTCGCAGCTTTCGATGTTCGCGCCTACGAGTGCCGAACACAAAACACCGCGAACCCTGCAGTCGCCTCTTCTCTCTCGTTCATTAAACTGGCCTCGCACCTCTCTGATCATGAGCACGTTCATGCCGTCCAGCTTGAAGCCGGGGATGTGGTTGCCCATGGTGTAGTAGGTGGAGTTCGACGATGACCTCTCCTTCGAGGTCCCCATGCCGTACTGGTTGTTCTCGATGCAGTAGATCATCGGCAGCTGAGGAGGATGGGCGGGCAAGCGAGTGCGCGCTCCATTGTTCCGATTGCCACTTTGGCAAGACATGCGGTACTTGCCTACTACGCGCCGACATCGTCGTGGACAAGTGTTTTCGCGTTCGAATTGCCGTCTGCTTAAAACTTGGAGAGAGAGAGCCTTGTCGGGAGATCCAGGACAACATCGAACGCCAACAGAGCTATCTCGAAGACGCTGGAAGATTGCTCGCAGACCATGTACGCCATACTGCCGAATTGCAGCCGAAGCACTTATGGGTAGCCCATCCCTCTCAAAACACCCTGTACACGTACCTGAACAAATAAGTTGTGTTTAACTCTTGAAAACCTCTCTATTCCTTTCTTGCTTCAAATCGCCGGCCTACAGCCGTACCTTCCACAACGAAGCCATGTTGGCTGCCTCCCAGATCTGCCCCTGGTTGGCCGCTCCATCCCCGTACATGGCCAAGGCCACGGGCGTGTCCTCCCCCGCCGGCGCCGAGTACTTGCTTGCAAACGCAAGCCCGGTACCCACCGGCACTTGCGCGCCCACGATACCTGCAGATTGCATTGCCGGTTGCCGGTGGAAAACGAAAGCCCACGGGTGGGAGAAATTCGGTTATCTTTCGGAGTGCTGAACCTCGGTAGCGTCCCAAATGGCGGCGGCTGTTTAGCAGCTCTATATAAGCCAGAAGCTCTCTCTGCATGCTCACTACTTACCTCAATACACTGCGGAAGTACTGCGGCGGTGTGGCTATTCTACACCCTCCCATTCCAACGTAAAAAATACGCCATACGGTTGTCTGCACTTCTTGGTAGTACAGCTACGCAAGCGAGGCAAGTCTCCACGCGGCAGCGAGGGAGGCTTTGTGTGCGTGCACGCTCACCCTGTCCCCCGAAGAAGCTGTGCTCCTTGTTGTACATGTGCATCGATCCCCCCTTCCCGCGGGACACGCCCTCCTTGAACCCGAACAGCTCGGCGAAGACCGACTCCACCGTGCCCCCCCGCGCCAGCGCCGTGCAGTGGCATCGGTACGAGGTGATCCAAGAGTCCTGGAGCGCGCGGCACCAGCAGCGGCACCAGCAGCAGCATTAGGAAGACGCAGCAACGAGGCACATCATGCCGCCAGTTTTTGTCACCCGTAGGGTTGCGATGGGCAGGCATTCCATCAATACAGGAACAGAGGGTGGTAGAGCGGAGTAGGGGAAATACCATGAGGAAGCGAAGGAATCGCTCGGGCATAAGGACTTCGGGGTTGTGAAAGAGGCCGCACCAGCCAGGGAAGGGAGACAGGAGAGGAGGGTTCTCTGAATCCCGACACTTTTCCAGCGCAACTCATCGTGGCAAAAAACACGTAACCTTTGCTAGCACAACAACGCATATGGGCCCGTTACGTGCGTTGGCTTTTTTTATTTTCAGTTCGCTCACCTGGTGATTCGTGGCCGCCTCAATGCCTGTCGCCACGGCCTCCTGGCCGTCATACAAGTGGCAGAACCCTCGGATGGTTCGTGCCTGAAGGCGCCCACGCGAAACAAGCACGAAAAGAATTGAGGAAATATATGCACACATACCGTAGTACAATCACATAGTACTGTACATACAATCACAGAAGACTACTCGTGGGTTGCTCAACACCGAAGAAAGACGACGGTCAGATGGCACAGCAGCCGTGCAACACGGCAGTCGGCCCACATATTGGGGGGGGGGGATACAGATCCACGCACAACCCCCACCTCCACAGAGCCTGCTGTTTTATCTACACAAAAACGGCACAGGCCGGCCAATACAACCCACAGCCGTCTTCTCATCTTAGACTCGTGTTACACGACAGGAGATTCACCGTCAACATTTTGTGTCTGCGGGATCGAAGGGGTGGGGGAATTTATCTATTTATTACCTTGTACTCGGTGTCGCACGTGATCTCCATGCGGCGCATGGTGTACATGAGCTTGAAGTACGACATGAGTTCCTCACGGTTCGTAGTGGCTTCCGTCGGCAACGATACGGGCACTGGAGCCAATCGCGACAGCAGCAAGAATATGAAGTTGAACACAATACAGGTTAACATCGAGAACGCAATCGCGCCGCACAATTCTTGATTGCAGGTAGGTGTATGATACCACCACGATATGCACACTATTTACACGATTGAGACGATCTCTGACTCGTAGGGCTAGGCGATGTAGCGGCCTCTAACCAAGCAGGGGCACTGCGCCATATGCTACTATTGCAGCTTTGCGCTTTGGTTTGACGGAAGCAGTGCCACCAATGACATCAGAATTGCCGCAGGGCGGCCGTGATTGACCAGGCCGTTGGTATTTGTGTTCGGCGGTGGGACTCTCAGCCCGCCTGCAGCAACCCATCTTGATTCTTGTAGAACCAAGTGCGGCGGCCCGCAAGGACCTTGTGCGAAACCATCGCGCCGGTACCACAGCTTGTTTGCACTCAGCCGCGAATTTCAAACAAATGAATGAACATAAATACTAAGCATCTGCCGTACCTCTAGGTCAGCACGTACGCATACCGCTACTGCTGTACGGTCACTGATCACCTCTCTGAGGAATGAGGGACAGAGTACACGGTGAGTCGGTTCTACTGGTCTGGTGCCCGCGATGAAAGTATTCAAGCACACACGATGCATTGCCGACCACAAACACGAACTCACGGTTGTGCGTGTCGATGTCCTTCGTAAAGGGCACCGTGATCTGCTTTTCGGTCGACATAGCTCTTGCCGCTGCTGCTGCTACTCCTGCGCCTGGTCGTTGCTGCTGCAGCACCGCCCTGCTGGCACGAGAGAGTAGCAAGAGACACGCGACACGCTTTTACAGCAGCATTGCTACAAAGCTCGACGGGCACAAAAACCATGGCCCGTGCTAAACCCGCAACCAGACAAGACAAATGGATGTCTGGATGATGTTCGCGGTTGATCATGGTGCCGAGGGCGGATGGCAGAGGGAGGCCAGGGTGGGTGTGGGGAGGTTTGCGCTACAATACGCAGGTGGGCCCTATCACCCTTTTTCGATGGGAACATGTCGAAAGAAGGGTGTTTGTGCCACGTAGTCCACAAGGTGCCGTTTGGGAGGACGGGTCAAGTCCACACACTGCAGCACAGCAGTATCTGACCCAGCGAACAACTCAACTAGTACTTGAGCGCGCCTGTGTCAATTGGCAACGCGAGAGACGAAGCAACGCAGCACTTCCCAGCATGTTGCGCAGCACAACGTCGTCGTCCGGTGTGAGTGTTTTTCGCAGCATCACTCGATCGCAACGGTCTCGTGCAGCGTCTGCAGCCACGCTCAACGCTATTGACTCACCTGCGCACAGGTGCCACTGCAGCTGTAAGTGTTCGAAGCATGATGATGCTGGTTAGGGGTTGCAGCGGTGTTGTTGTGCGTTCGTTTGGACGAACCAGCGAAGTCACTGCGTTGCCGAAAGAGAGGGGGGACGCAGAAAAACACCCCCACCACCCCCTACTTAGCGAGCGAAAACAAAAAAGAGAGAGTGGGGGGGTTCTCCGGTACATTCCGTATATGACACAAGGTAACACACCCCCGTGCGGATTTTCAAAGCTCGATTACTCCACGACGAAGAGGATGACTTTCCCCCCTCCGCTGGTTAAGCAATGTAAGGTACCTCAACTGGTAGTGATTGGTTTTACTAGTTCTGTTGCAGACTCCTTGGGGCTCCGTGGGATGTTCATGCGGGCAAATATTCTAGCGTACATTCCCCCCAGCACCGTGCATTCCGTGACGCTGTACAACGTATTATCCCTTGTTTTAGGTATGTATGGTGACACCCTAGATAGTATGATGTTCAATACCACCAACGTAGCGAGAGATGTAAATCATGGTAAATATAGATGCATTTGCAAAGACCCTCAATGGAGTCAGTACACGGTTGTTGCCAAGGATGGTTCCAGATGTTTGATTACCACAGATGCCGGATGTCTTCAGGATGACAACGCTGCAGCTGTGCTAAACCTACAAGCTGGTTTTAGAGCAGAATATGCTGAAGCCTTGAATGACCTCTCTTTCTTTGAATCGCTCATAGACGCCACAGAATCGTACATTGGCGATTTATGTCATGAACTCAAAGTGTCACGCCATGACATTGAGGACTGGGAGGATACTTTGTTTCACGCGATAGAACAAAAAGTGACTGACGCGGACAAGGGGGAGGTTGCTAAGCCTCTTAAGGGCCACCACCACATAGATTTCGCTGCAGCTAGGACATCTTTTCAACAATTGCACAAGAAGGTGGTGTTTACGAGAGTCGACAAAGCGGCCAACTGCATCTGTATCACTTGCAAGGCGTGCTATATTAGGTTAGCCAAAGCAGAACTTGAAGGACCGGGGTATTGGACAGTACACGGAGAGTTGGAGCTGGTGAAACAGACGACCATTGACCGACAACACAAGTTTTTGCTAGATGAAAAGTTTTGCCCATCCCACAGCAGCAGTACGAAGACGAGGATGGTGACACTCAGTATGAAAACACTGAGAAGTTACCCACACGATACCTCACTGCTAAACTACATAAGCCGTTGGTAGCGACACGTGGAATTACGGCTTGTTGTGGTACGATAACAGAAGGGGTGGCTAAGGTAGTCAACGCAGTCCTGGTTGGTATCCGGCCTTGTTTACACACGATCTGGCGTGAAGAATGCGCAAAAGTTGGTATTGTTGCCAAGGAATGTTGGATTACCGCTAGCGGGGAAAGTCTTCTAGAAGTAGCACAGGATATCGATATTCGAGCACAAATGGAGGGATGTACTGATGCGCATGTCTTCCAAACATTTGACTTCGTTGGTATGTACCCTAATATCCCTGTAGTACCATTGAAGGAAAAATTGAGGGAAGCTTTGAAATTGTCGTTTGAGCACCAAGCTGAGCGACATGGGTTTAAGTCGATGAAGTTGAGATGGGGTATTGGGCCTGATAATAAGACACCATTTGTTAGAGACATCGAGTGGTCGAAGGAAAACCCGAGCAACGTAACATCTAGCAGAAGTCGAGCGAATTACATTGGATGGGAACGGGTCTGTAAATGGATAGATTTTATTTTGGATGAAGGATTTGTACAATTTGGGAACGGCATGTACCAACAAGCCTCTGGTATCTTTATGGGAACGGCACCAGCTCCCGAACTAGCGAATATTTTTGCGTTTATGCATGAATTCGATTTTTTGAAGGAAATGGTGGATGAGTATTTAACTGCTACACACGCTGGGACTACATCGTTGTATCCATTTGAATTTATTGAGCAGTACAGCATTGATTGGTACAAAACGGTATATAGATGACATTTTTACGGTGCGATATTATGGTAGTAACCAGACTGGACCAACATTTGAAGATACTATATATAAGGAGGGTAATCAATACGTTGGTATGTACCCAACGATGGTGTTAGATTCGAATGGTGATGAGACAGACAACCCCGTTCGCGTTACCCAAGAACGGTGTGGGGAATCAGCACACTTTCTGGATATGCAAATAGGGCAAGACATTCCTGGTAAGACTTGTATCGGTATGTATAATAAGCGCCAACATATGGCTACGCTGAAGCAATATCGGGCATTCCCACATTGGGAAACAGTGTTATCTACTAGGTGTAAGATGTCGACGTTACACTGTCAAATGTGCCGATTTGCTATTAGATGTACTGACATTCGATTTTTCCAAGCTGCCACAGCCAGATTGATAGCTGACATGCTTGCACGTTTCTATTCTAGNCCACATTGGGAAACAGTGTTATCTACTAGGTGTAAGATGTCGACGTTACACTGTCAAATGTGCCGATTGCTATTAGATGTACTGGCATTCGATTTTTCCAAGTTGCCACAGCCAGATTGATAGGTGACATGCTCGCACGCTTCTATTCTAGTCGACTTATACGTAATACTTTACACAATTTCATGTATACCTTTTTTCGTACCTCGCCAGTGACTGCAAACATCGTGGGTGTAAATGCACCTATGGTGCGGAATTCATACTGGAAGAAAGTGGAGTTGGGTATTTGGAATCGAGTAGATACGAATGAAATTTTGGTAGATTAGCCTGCGTGCGATTATCTTTTAATAGTTTTTTTTTTGAAAAAGTGTGGCCCGTTAGGGGTGCGCTTTTTGTTTTGTT